GACCTGGGAGTTTTAAGATGAAATGAATTAAACCCTTCTCTAAGTTGTTTTTGATTAATGTTTTATCACAGCAGTAGAAAGCAAAGTAGGAAACCCCTTTTGAAAACATTAGCAAGGCCAATGGTCTATCTAAGTGTTAGGCCAGTCTCTTCATAGGTATCTTCTTCCACAAGCCAGGCACAGTCCCTTCACTTCCCTTCTGTAGTGGTTTGAATGAGAATGTCCCACATAGGCTTATATATTTGAACACGTGATCCTTGTGTTTGGTGCATGGGGGGCGTGGCCTTGCTGGAGGAAATTAGACACTGGAGGCAGACCGTCAGAGTTTAAACACTCACCATTTCCAGTTCGCTCTGTCTTTTTCTCTGTGTCATGCTTACAGCTCAGGATGTGAACACTTGGCTTCCTGTTCATGTTGCCATGCCTGCTGCCTGCTGCCCCACCTCTCCACTGTGATGGCCATGGGCCCTATCCTTCTAGAACTGTGTGTCCAAATGCACTCTTTTATAAGCAGCCTTGGTCATGGTGTTTTAGTACAGCAACAGAAAAATAACTAACACACCTGCCACTCATTTTCTGGTCCTCCAGTCTCAGACTATCTCCTTCCAAATTGCATTACATTTCTTTTGTGTGTGTGTGTGTGTGTGTGTGTGTGTGTGTGTGTGTGTGTGTGTATGCTCATGTGTACACATGCATGCCAGAGCGCTCCTAAGGTTAGAGGAAGGACAACCTGTGGAAGTTCAGTCTCTCCTTCCTCTATGGTTTCCCTAGGATTGAACTCAAGTCCTCAGGCTTGGGAGCAAGTACTACTATTTACCTAGTGAGCCATCTAGCCAGTTCCTAATTTACCATAATCCACCCCCATCTCTCTCTCCTCTGCTCCTGACCCATCTCTCTGACAAGCCCAGGATAGATGCACTTGAACTCACCATTCTCTGCTTTGGCCTTCAAGTAAGTGCTGAGATTACAGATCTACAACATGACACCAGTTCCGTTTCTTCCTGATAGAGTTACACGAATTCTTTCAGGCCTAGGATCAGGCATTAACTTCCCACTTTAAAATTCCTTCTCTCCAACCTTAGAGTAATGGCTTGTCCTCGCTCCCAACATTCACTCCTAGTTCGAGACTGTTCACATTTCTGTAAGCATCTCTGTTTACTTAGTCTTTCTTACCTGGGTTCTGAGCTGCTTAAACTTGGAACCATACTCTCCTCCTACACCTCCTAGTGCATTAACATAACACTGAGCTCTCCACAAGTGCTTGATGGAGATCAGTTAAGCACCCACAGGCAAGTAGACACCAAGCATCCTTCAGTGATGCAGGCAAGCATGTCAGCAGCGTTTATGACACATGTGCCTGGTCACAGAGCAGGTGTTTAAAGAGGAGACTTCTCTCTGGAGGAAATCAAAGCCATGGATTGTCAAAGTCCAAGCACTGCTGTGACATCTTAAGCTGTCAGAGGATGCCAGGCCTTTTGAGGAGAATTTGAAGAATTAGAAAGAAGGCCGTAAAAACTTACAATGTCCAAAATAGTATTTCCAAGAAAATCCGTTTTATTTTACCATGACTAACGAAGACACATCTGATCTGGAATTCATAATGTTAAGGGAAAAAAACAACATAATAAGGGGTAGGAGACACATGGGGTCCATTGTAACCACAGTGAAAATAGAAGTGATCTTTGTGATTTATTCAAGGGAATTCCTCCAACCATATACCCTTACTACTATAATAGTCCTTTCATTTTCTTTAAGCAAATATTAAAGCAATCTTAAATTCTAAACAACAACAACAAAAAACTTCAGACAACTTCTTTGTTAGTTCATGTGGCATTTCCACAATTTTAAAAAAGAATTAGTGGAGCCAAAAACCAAGCATGCCAGGTTGATACAAAAATTCACTTCCTGGGTTGGGAATGTAGTTCAGTTGGTAGAGTGCTTGCTTAGCATGCATAAAGCTCTGGGTCTGATCTTCAGTTCCACACACACTGGACATAATAATACGGTCTATTATTGCAATACTTAGGAAGCAGAGGAAGGCAGAACAAAAGTTCAAGGTCATCTTTGTATAAAGAGGACATTCAAGGTCATTATGAGATTCATAACTCTCTCGTCTCTTCTTTCTCTCTCCCTTTATATAAAAACACTTCCTGCCTTGAAGTATATCCTAGAATTCTTGTCTACAATGCTTAAACCTGAGGTCAGTCCTTAGCTGAAAAGCAAACTACACACACACACACACACACACACACACACACACATCCTACCATGTACACAGGTAATATCAAATCTCGAAGAAAAACAGAAGCATTCTTGCTCTCATTTGCCATATGTGGGAGAGGGATGATGGCCCAGTAAAGTCATCATGTGTCTTCAGAAACTTTTATGTTATCACCTCCACACATACACCTCTCATTAGCCTGTGACTAGTCGATCCAAGCAGGGTGTGAGATTTCAAGTTAAGTATGTCTCTCTCATTCTGGCTGCTGAGCCAGCCTACTCCTGCTATCTTTGGGCTAGAAACTTGCTGCCACTCACTATAGCCTACAAGTATTGTTTTTCATCTTGGATATCTCAAGATCTAAGCCCATTGGGTCTGCTTTGGGTTTAAAACCATTTCATCCACAAAGTATTTGCAGTACCTACAGTCTGGAGAACTAAAATTGCGTACAGCATATCTCTACTGTCTAAATGCACTGGAGAACCAAAAGGTCTCCAGGGCCTCTGGCATTCCTCCAGGAAAAGGCTACTACACCAGAGAATGATTGGGCTGTTGCCCAGTGGCCTTTGGGGGCCTTGAACTTTCTATAGGTTTTCTGAATAGGAGTTCTGTGTGGTGACATGACAAGAGGGGAATTTTCCAAGCCTACTCTGTAGAAGTCAGTTGACACTGCTATTATGTAGCAAGTGTTCATACATTCCTAGTCCCTGTGTGCCTGATCCCTAGGCATCACAGGGCCTCTCCCACTGGTCCTTCCTTTTGCTCATAGCAGCAATATCCACTCTTAGTGTCAGGCCTCTTCCTGGGTGATTCCTTCTTCTTTTAGTTCTGTCAAGTTTAACAGAAGTTATCTGTGCACCATTGATTGTATTTATACGCTGGAAAAAATAGAAACTCTAGCTTCTGCCTTTGAAAAGCTACTGGAAATGACCACGTAATATTTATTAATCCACACAGCATGGTAACCTAGTTCCCAAAGAAAGAGCTAAGGGTAATTTGAGGCTAAGAAAAGCAGGGGAAGCCCTGCGACAGAGGGAACGGGAAGGCAAAGGCACAGCGATGCATAGAGAAGCAGCCTTGATAAGAATATCTGAGAGTGATTAGGCCTCTGTGAAGCAGCTGGAGAGCAAGGGCCAGAATGAGAAGGGGAAGGGGAGTGGCAAGCAAGACTAACTCTACAGAAGATAGACATGGAGAACTCGCATCACCCAGAGTGGGGAGGGGTTAATTTGCTCCAGAGCGGGGACTAGTAGAGAGTTGCCATTTGGTACATATGGAGTCATTTGGCTAAAGTTTTCTATTAAATTTGATGTGTAGTAGTTTGTTACTAATAAAAATTAATATTCATTTAATTTTAAAGACTAAAAACAAAACCACCTAAAAATGGTAACCCTGAATAGTCAAAATCAACCTTAAAGGGCAAAAAGAAACTCCAGTTTCACAGTTCCCAATTTCAAAGTTGCAGTAATCTGGAACAATGTAGTACTAGCTTCAAGACAGACATACAGACCCATGGAAAGAATGGAGAGGCCAGAAACAAGCTATCATGTACACAGACAAATTATTCTCAACAAAGGTACCAAGGACATAGAAAGGCAAAGGGGAAACAAATTTCAACAGCACTGGAACACTGCATATTCTCACCAAAAGTTAGCTTGAATGGATTAAACTGAAGGGAAAGAGCTGAAACTTAAAATTTCTTTGATGAAAGGAGGGAGAGCATCAGGCATTCAGCTTGGCAGTGACTTTTTTATGTGACACCAAAAGCATAGGCAACATGAGGAAAAATCAATAAATGGCATACGTCAACTTTTAAGCATTCATGTATAAAGGGGCACTAGGAATTGAGTAAAAGGGGGAAACTCATGGACTAGGAGAACATATCTACAGATCATACATTTAATTAAGGGCCAATATCCCCAATTCAAAAAGAACACCAACAGCTCAACAACTATGGATTTCATGTACAAACAGGCAGAGAACTGAAATAAAAGAAATTCACACTTTGGGCTGGGATAAGTGTCTCTGTGGGTAAAAGCACTTACTGCACAAGCCTTATGAGTTCAATCCACAGAACCACGATGCTGGAAGTGGACAACTGATTCTTGAAAGTTGTCCTTTGACCTCTCTCTACACCTGCACTGTGACATGAGTGTGCCCACATTCCCACACACACATAAAATGCAGACTCACAATTTTAATAAATAAGAATATGTATCATCAATAGATGCTGACTAGCATCAATCTCAGAGAAATGCAAAGCAGAACCACTAAGATAAAACTCACTACATAAGTAAAAAAAAAAAAAAAAACAGTGGCCAAGAAGATGGCATTTGCTTCCAAGCCTGTTGACCAACACCCGCATGATGGAAGAACATCATACTCTTGTATGATGTCCTTTAACCTTCACACGCGTGTTGTGGCATGTACTCTCACACCCCGCCACATACACAGCAAATAAATAAATGTAATTAAAACAAATGCAATTTAAAAGAAAGAAGTAATACATGTTGGTAAATATGTGGAAGGTAATGATTAATCTTTACTGTAGATTTGACGGGTTTGGAGTCACCTAGGAGATGGGTGAGGTACATCTGTGTCTGGGAAGGTATTTCCAGAGAGAATTGACTGAGGAAGACTCATTCTGAACACAAGTGGAACCATCTCATGGACAGGGTCTCCAGACAGATTAAAGAGACAGCCAAGTGGATGCTAGTATGTTCCCTCTCTGCTTCCTGAGACTTGAGCTGGTAAATATCTCCTCCTTTGTTTCTTTTAGGTGTCTGGTGTTTTAGAAATGAGAAGTAGCTAATACACAGAGAAAGCAGAAGCTGTGTGCATGGAGACACTTCGGAGCATTACAATAGAATTCTATAGGATCCAACAATTTTACTCCTGGGAAAAAACCTAGAGTAACTGAAAGCAGAGATTCAAACAGATTCATAGTACAGGCTGGAGCAATGACTCATAATCTCAGAGTCACTCTTACGAAGGACCTGGGTTCTACCCACAACACTGATGTGGTGGTTCACAACCACCTGTAACTCCAGTTTCAGGGAATCCCCATCCTCTTCTGGCTCCCGTAGTACCAGGTATGCATGTGGTGAACATACACATTCAGGCAAAACGCACATACACATAAAATAAAATAGATCGCCGGGCGTTGGTGGTGCACGCCTTTAATCCCAGCACTCGGGAGGCAGAGGCAGGCGGATCTCTGTGAGTTGGAGGCCAGGCTGGACCGACAGCCTCCAAAACAGAGAAACCCTGTCTCGTAAAAACCAAAAAAAAAAAAACAAAAACAAAAACAAAAAACAAAAACAAATAAATAAATAAATAAAATAAAATAGATCTAAGAAAATTGTTTAAGTTCATAGTCATGGCAGAATGGCCTGAAGACAGAAGCAATCTTCTGGAAGAACAAGTAAATACAATGTAACATACACAGACAATTGAAGATTACTTAACCTTAAAAGGGAAAGGTGAGTCTGACTCATGGAATGTATGGACAAATGTCTCTGGAGGACACTATGTTTGGCTTCAAAAGGATAAATACTGTACAATTCTGCTTCTGCAAATATCTGTAGTGGTCAATAGATTTTTTGGGGATAAAAAGCAGGATGGTCGTTTCAAGGGGAAAGATGAACAAAATCCAATGATAGATAGTGATAGCAGTGAATATGCACTTAATATAACTGCATTGCATATTTTAAAAAGACTAATGGTAAATATATGTTATTTATATCTAGTCACTTTTTAAACGCTGGAATTATAGAAAAACGTGAAACATCTTACCCATTCCAGGCTCCATTCACAAGCACAACATTAATTCTGAAGCAGTTAATGGCAGAATGCACTGGTTGTTGGTGTGGAGGTGGGGGTTCTTCCTAGCTGTAGAAAGGAGGACCAACAGTGATACCACAGAAGCTAACAAGGTCTCACTGAGGCCATATCTCTATGCCCTGAGGTAATGAAGGGCCATGACCAAATAAATACACAGAGAAACAAAATAGGTCGTCTAACGAGCCATCTGAACTGTATCAAATACAATTCAGAATAGCTTAGCTAAAACTTAGGGGCTGGTGAGATGGCTCAGTGGTTAAGAGTGCATGCTACTTAATGCTAAAGGAAGGAGTTAGGCACCCTGCATGCACCAAGGAGAGCAGGACAGGGCAGTCACTGGGGCTCACTGGCTTCCAGTCTAGGAGGGAAACATAAGCCCAAGTTCAAGGAGAAAACCTTACCTCAGGTGGACAGGTGGAAGTGAAAGGACATATACACCCTCTTCAGCCTCCATGTATGTGCACAGGTATGCACATATACACACGTGCTCACACGCACAGAAATAACAGATTGGTTATAGTAAAATAATAAAAGATTCATTATTATTATTATTGGACAAAAATCAATTAAATAAAATGAAAACCATTGAAAATGTGATTTTCCAGGAGTTCAGTTCAGTGTTCATCTGTGGGTATCTGCCTCCTGGAATCCAGTGTCAGAAAGGGAGAACTGATGGGCAAAGGAGTTAAGAGTGGGCTGGTTTAACCCACAGAAACAGTTGACCTGAACAAGGGGGAGCTCTTGGACCCCAGATTGATGGCTGTGTGCAAAACATGGGACTGACCCAGACCCCCCGAATGTGGGTGTCAGTGAGGAGGCCTAGGTAATCTATGGGTCCTTGGGTAGTATTCATTCCTGACGTACAAATAGACTTTGAATGCCCATACCACAATGTGAGATGCTCTCTCAGCCTGTACTCTTGAAGGAGGGCTTAGACCCTACCCTGGATGACATGATACACTCTGGAGATCCACCATGGAAGGCCTCACCCTCCCTGGGGATCAGAGTGGAGATTGGGTGAGGGACTGGGGGGGGTGTCTGGTGGGGAGGGCTGGGGAGGAGGGGAGGGAGAGGGAGCCGTGATATATGAAACAAGCTTGTTTCTAACTTACATTTTTAAAAAGGAAGAAAATGTGATTTTCCATCTGTCTGTCTATCTGTTTGCTTATTTTTCTCACTATAACCCTGGCTGACCTGATGCTGTGTAGACCAGCCTGGTCTAGAACTTGTGGCAATCCTCCTGCCTCCACCTCCTCAATGCTGGGATTATTGGTGTGTAGAACCATCTCCAGAAGGTGGTTTGCAATTGTTAGTGTAGTTATAAGTATTTCTCAGAACACTTCCCCTTGTGTGTTTCTGGCTCTTGTCATCATAAGCAACAGTTTTCAGGAGTCTTGGCGGTGGAGATGAAGCAGCAACCATATAGCCTTGATGCAGAAAAGGATGGTGACAGAGCACTAAGCCACTTATGCTGTCATTTACTCGATAGCTCCACCCCTTGGCATATATAGACCGTAGCCTATAGCTACCCCACCTCCTTCCAGACTTTCCTGACATCAGAGGCAGGCAAGCACTTAGCTCCTGTGGACACACCTTAGCATGTCTGGGGGCAGTTACGTACTGACCGAGGCTCTATCCAGTTTTTCAGGTTCCAGCTGGCGGTCCTGTTCCCCTCCCCACCTTACGTCCATGTTTTCTGGACTGCTTGCCCTGCAAACCTCACACTCCAGCACCAGACACAAAGACAGAAACACATTTCAAAACCATGTAAGATCAAATTTCAAGAGGTTTTGCTCCTTCAGTCCAACCCTGGTAGGGAATTTGACGTCCATCAGGGATCCAGGGGTATGGAAACCTCGAGGAGAAACGAGCTCTGTCAATGGGACTTGGGGGGATGGGTTAATTTATTCTCTGATGGCACTAGATTCAAAGGCACTTCTAGTCCTCTTTCCAGTGGCAAAGGGGACACCAATATTGCACAGTGGCCCAAGAGTGACACCTTTGATCAAATGTCTAGAGACCAGGAAAGTGCAGCTTCTTCTAAAAAGAGACCGCGAATATGTGAGCTCTTGTAAGCCAGATGGTTTCTGTGGCAACCATTCACCACTACGATTGTAGCATAAAAAACAGCCACGGACAATATGTATATGAGCGGACGTGGCTGTGTTCCAATACAACTTTATTTTCAAAAATGGGAAGTGAGCCAGATCTGGCCCAGGAGGCACAGCTTGCAGACTTCTACCATAGAAGGTAAAGCTGTGAAGGAGGAACCACTTGCTGGTGTGGGGTATTTCGGTGAGAATATGAACTATGATGGGATTGATTACTCGCTTCTGAGAGTGCTGGAGAACTTGGGGCAGGAAAGTGATGAGCTCAAGGTTCATCCATATAAGGAATCTGAGCTCCCCTGTGAGTGAGAACCCCAAGAGAATCCTGACAGATACAGTGACGAGAGGAACGAAGTCAGCAGATGATTTGCAGGCAGGATGGGATGGAGTAGTGCATTCAGAGAGGAGGCAACTCGTGGCATGCCAAGTAGGAGACACCTGAGTGCAGATGCTTGGCAGGCAGGAAGACAGGGAGCCTTCAGTTCTGGGATACTTGTCAGTTTGGAAACCTCTTCCTTGGACGCAATGGTCACTATCATAGGAATGGGAGAGAGACAGGGAAAAGAAAGAGAAGAGCGGTGGGTAAAGGCACACCAGGGAGAGCCCAGACAGGGCTGAGAAAGCACTCACAAAAAAAGCCTGAGACTGAAAGACACCAAAGCGAAAGAAACAGCAACCAAAGAAGCTGTGTGACTGCCATAAAACTGGACATGGTTTGAGCAGGGTGGTTTGTACCTGCAACCTGAGCACCAGGGAGGTGGAGGCAGAAAGATTTAGAGCTTGAGACCAACTTAGGCTACACAGAAAGACCCCCATAGCAAAACAAACAGACAAAGACATAAACTGTATGCTTATAAACATACTTACTGCTGACGAATGTAGTAAGCCAAAACTGAAAGAGATTTCAAAATACCCACTCCTTTCCAAAGAAACATCTGGAAAAGAGAGTAAGATGGGCAACTTTGGGAGATCTGTGTCAACAGGAACACCTGTCCATCCACTGTCCCTCCTTTCTTTAGATGAGAGTAGATTTGGGGGCTGTTTAACTTGGGGAAAGCACAAAGAATTTAAGAAGTGTTCATTTCTCCTAGTGTGGGAGGCTGTCCTGGCTGAGGGGTAGAAACAGGAAGCTGGCCGCTGCCTCCATTTCCTGGATGAAGCACCAAGCAGTTGTCCAGATCAGAAGATGAGGCCCGAGGAAGAGAGACTTGGTTGGGAGGAAGACACAAGAGTTGTGTGAGGGTGGGGTCATCTGGCTGGATATAGTGCCTTTTCACCTGTGGTAGGACCTATACTCTGACAAACAATATGGACACATGTTTACTTCTAGACTATTCCCTAAGATTTAAAAATTGTCATGAATAGTTTCCATAACCATATATAACAAATGAATAAACAGTCTCCTTTTCTTTGTGGTTTTTAGCATCTCTGAGAAACATCCTTTTAAACATCTGATTCTCTGGGGACAAAGTGTAAATAAACTTTATGCTGAGAGCTAACCAGACCTTCACAGATAGAACAGTATGGCCTCCTCCAATGTCTTAGCAGTTTGCTACCAGAAGTGCATTTCACTGTAAAAAAAAAAAAAAAAAAAAACCACATGGGTGAGGTTAGTGGCTCAGGACTGCCATCCCAGCATTGGGAGGCCAAGGCAGGAGGGTTACACAAGTTCAAGGCCAGCTTGGGCTGTGTAGTGAGACTCTGTTTCAAACAAACTTAGTGAAGCGTTGTTCTGGTATGAACCCCAGCCCTGTTGAAGGGCAGGTATGGCTGTGTAGCTGCACATCTAGGCTCTCATGAGGAGATGTAAAAGCTGTAATTTGGAAGGCGATGAGACACTGACACCGAAATTTACTTGTACACTCAGTCGAGGAGAGAGTTCTTTGATCCAACCGTGAAACGCAGTTTGTATGGGCATTTCCCCATGAGCCAGGAAAGAGTGAACTACAGTGATTCCCTGGGAACTCAAGTATAGGTACATTTTTTAACCCTAAAATCTGGGCAGGGGGATTATCTGAGAGAAAAACTGAGTTTGTTTTCAAGGAGAACCACTGCCAACAGGAAAAACACAGAAACAACAACAACAAC